GGTCTGGTGGTCTGGTGGTCTAGTGGTCTGGTGGTCTGGTGCTCTGGTGCTCTGGTGCTCTGGAACTCTGGTGCTCTGGTGCTCTGCTCTGGTGCTCTGGTGGTCTGGTGGTCTGGTGGTCTGGTGGTCTGGTGGTCTGGTGGTCTGGTGGTCTGGTGGTCTGGTGGTCTGGTGGTCTGGTGGTCTGGTGGTCAGGTGGTTTGGTGGTCTGGCGGTCTGGCGGTCTGGTGGTCTGGTGGTCTGGTGGTCTGGTGGTCTGGTGGTCTGGTGGTCTGGTGGTCTGGTGGTCTGGTGGTCTGGTGGTCTGGTGGTCTGGTGGTCTGGTGGTCTGGTGGTCTGGTGGTCTGGTGGTCTGGTGGTCTGGTGGTCTGGTGGTCTGGTGGTCTGGTGGTCTGGTGGTCTGGTGGTCTGGTGGTCTGGTGGTCTGGTGGTCTGGTGGTCTGGCGGTCTGGTGGTCTGGTGGTCTGGCGGTCTGGCGGTCTGGTGGTCTGGTGGTCTGGTGCTTTGGTGCTCTGGTGCTCTGGTGCTCTGGCGTCGTCGGGCAAACGACGCAAGCACGAGCAAACGTGGACCAGCCCAGAGAGGAGGGGGAAATAACGTACCATTCTTGTGATTGGTACGGTATTTCCCCCTTCTTCGGTTTGGCGGTGCTAGACGCTCTCATCTGTTACACAGGCCCCCTCTGCTAGGCACTGGTGGTCAGGTGGCCTGGTGCTCTGGTGACCTGCTCCTCTGTTACACAGGCCACCTCTGCTAGACAGGCTCCCTCGCCAAGCTGAAGCTCAGTGGTGCTAGACGCGCTGAATCACACAAGCCCCCTCTGTTAGACAGGCTCCCTCGCCAAGCAGATTAAAACATCTCATTGGTGCTAGACGCGCGCCTCTGTTAGACCTGCGCCCTTCTGTTAGACAGGCTCCCTCGCCAAGCTGATTAAACAAACCTCAGTGGTGCTAGACGCGCCCCTCTATTACACAAGCCCCCTCTGTTAGACAGGCTCCCTCGCCAAAACTGATTTAAAACAAAGATCACGGTGGTATTGTACGCGCGCCTCTGCTAGACCTGCGCCCTCTGTTAGACAGGTTCCTTCGGCAAGCTGACTACAAAGATCTCAGTGGTGCTAGACGCGCTCCTCTGTTGCACAAGCCCCCTCTGTTAGACAGGCTCCCTCGCCAAGCTGTTTAAAAAAGCATCAGTGGTGCTAGACTCGCTCCTCTGTAAGACCTGCGCCCTCTGTTAGGCCTGCGCCCTCTGTTAGACAGGCTCCCTCGCCAAGCCGATGTAAAACATCTCAGTGAGGCTAGACGCGCCCCACTGTTCCACAAGCCCCCTCTGTTAGACAGGCCCCCTCGCCGAGCTGTTTCAAAAAACCTCAGTGGTGCTCGACGCGCGCCTCTGTTAGACCTGCCCCCTCTGTTAGACAGGCTCCGTCGCCGAGCTGATTCCTCTGTAAAACTAGCCCCCTCTGCTAGACCGGCTCCCTCGCCAAGCTGATTTAAAAAATCTCAGTGGTGCTAGACGCACTCCTCTATTACACAAACCCCCTCTGTTAGACAGGCTCCCTCGCCAAGCTGATTTAAAAATCTCAGTGGTGCTAGACGCGCTCCTTTGTTCCACAAGCCCCCTCTGTTAGACAGGCTCCCTCGCCAAGTTGTATAAAAAAACATCAGTGGTGCTAGACGCGCTCCTCTGTTAGACCTGCGCCCTCTGTTCGACAGGCTCTCTCGGCAAGCTGATTAAAAAGATCTAGACGCACTCCTCTGTTGCACAAGCCCCCTCTGTTAGACAGGCTCCCTCGCCAAGCTGATTAAAAAAAAATCTCAGTGGTGCTAGGCGCGCTCCGCTGTTAGACCTGCGCCCTCTGTTAGACAGACTCCCTCGGCAAGCTGATTTAGAACATCTCAGTGGTGCTAGACGCGCACCTCTGTTACACAAGCCCCCTCTGTTAGACACAGGCTCCCTCGACAAGCTGATTCCTCTGTCAAACCGGCCCCTTCTGCTAGACAGGCCCCCTCGCCAAGCTGATTTAAAAAATCTCAGTGGCGCTAGACGCGCCCCTCTGCTGCACAAGCCCCTTCTGTCAGACAGGAGCCTGTCTAACAGAGGGGACTTGTGTAACATGAAGCTTGTCTAGCACCAGTGAGGCTTTGTATAAACAGCTTGGCGAGGGAGCCTGCAGCTTGGCGAGGGGGCCTGTCCAACAGAGGGCGCAGGTGTAACAGAGGCGCGCGTCTAGCACCACCGAGTTTTTCTTAATCAGTTTGTCGAGGGAGCCTGTCTGACAGAGGGGGCTTGTGCAACAGGGGAGCACGTCTATCACCACGGATGTTTTTTTGTATCAGGTTGGCGAGGGAGCCTGTCTAACAGAGGAAGCCTGTCTAACAGAGGTGGCTTGTGTAACAGTGGAGCGCGTCTAGCACCACTGAGATGTTTTAATCAGCTTGGCGAGGGAGCCTGTCTAACAGAGGGGGCTTGTGTAACAGAGGAGCTGTCTGACAGAGGGGCGCGCCTAGCAAAAGGATCGCGTCTAGCACAACTGAGATGTTTTTTTTTGTTATCACCTTGGCGAGGGAGCCTGTCTAACAGAGGGGGCTTGTGTAACAGTGGGGCGCGTCTAGCACCACTGAGATGTTTTAAATCGGCTTGGCGAGGGAGCCTGTCTAACAGAGGGGGCCTGTGTAACAGAGGAGCGCGCCTAGCACCACTGAGATTTGTTTTATCAGCTTGGCGAGGGAGCCCGTCTAACAGAGGGGGCTTGTGCAACAGAGGAGCGCGTCTAACAGAGGAGCGCGCCTAGCACCACTGAGATGTGTTTAATCAGCTTGGCAAGGGAGCCTGTCTAAGAGAGGGAGCTTGTATAACAGAGAAGCGTGTCTAGCATCACGGATATTGTTTAAATCAGCTTGGCGAGGGAGTCTGCCTAACAGAGGTGCTTGTGTAACAGAGGAGCTGTCTAACAGAGGGGCGCGCCTAGCAAAATGAGCCCGTCTAGCACCACTGAGATGTTTTAATCAGCTTGGCGAGGGAGCCTGTCTAACAGAGGGGGCTTGTGTAACAGTGGAGCGCGTCTAGCACCACTGAGATGTTGTAAATCGGCTTGGCGAGGGAGCCTGTCTAACAGAGGGGGCCTGTATAACAGAGGAGCGCGCCTAGCACCACTGATTTTTTATCAGCTTGGCGAGGGAGCCTGTCTTACAGAGGGGGCTTGTGCAACAGAGGAGCGCGTCTAACAGAGGAGCGCGCCTAGCACCACTGAGATGTTTTTAATGAGCTTGGCGACGGAGCCTGCCTAACAGAGAAGCTTGTGTAACAGAGAAGCGCGTCTAGCATCACAGGTATTTGTTTAAATAGCTGGGCGAGGGAGTCTGTCTAACAGAGGGGCAGGTCTAGCAAAGGAGCGCGTCTAGCTTCACTGCGTTTTTTGTTAATCTGCGTGGCGAGGGAGCCGGTCTAACAGAGGGGCGCGTGTAACAGAGGTGCGCGTCGAGCACCGCTGAGATCATTTTAATCGGCTTGGCGAGGGAGTCTGCCTAACAGAGGTGCTTGTGTAACAGAGGAGCTGTCTAACAGAGGGGCGCGCCTAGCAAAATGAGCCCGTCTAGCACCACTGAAATGTTTTTTAATCAGATTGGCGAGGGAGCCTGTCTAACAGAGGGGGCTTGTGTAACAGTGGAGCGCGTCTAGCACCACTGAGATGTTTTAAATCAGCTTGGCGAGGGAGCCTGTCTAACAGAGGGGGCCTGTATAACAGAGGAGCGCGCCTAGCACCACTGAGATGTTTTTGATCAGCTTGGCGAGGGAGTCTGTCTAACCGAGGTGGCTTATGTAACAGAGGAGGGCGTCTAGCATCACTGATAATTTTTAATCAGCTGGGCGAGGGAGCCTGTCTAACAGAGGGACAGGTCTAGCAAAGGAGCGCGTCTAGCACCACTGAGATTTTTTAAATCAGCTTGGCGAGGGAGCCGGTCTGACAGAGGGGCTTGTGTAACAGAGAAGCGCGTCTAGCACCACTGAGATGTTTTAATCGGCTTGGCGAGGGAGCCTGTCTAACAGAGGAGGGCTGTGGAACAGAGGAGCGCGTCTAACAGAGGAGCGCGTCTAGCACCACTGAGTTTTTTTGTTAATCTGCTTGACGAGGGAGTCTGCCTAACAGAGGTGGCTTGTGTAACAGTGGAGCGCGTCTAGCACCACTGAGGTTTGTTTAATCAGCTTGGCGAGGGAGCCTGTCTAACAGAGGGGCGCGTCTAGCAAAAGGAGCGCGTGTAGCACCACCAAACCTAAGAAAGGAAATATCGAACCAATCACAAGATTGGTACGCTATTTCCCCCAACTCCCTGGGCTGGTCTGCGTTTGTTCATGCTTGCGTCGTTTGCCCGACGACGCCAGAGCACCAGAGCGCCAGAGCACCAGACCACCAGACCACCAGACCACCAGACCGCCAGACCGCCAGACCACCAGACCACCAGACCACCAGACCACCAGACCACCAGACCACCAGACCACCAGACCACCAGACCACCGGACCACCAGACCACCAGACCACCAGACCGCCAGACCACCAGACCACCAGACCACCAGACTCTGGTGATCTGGTGGTCTGGTGGTCTGGTGGTCTGGTGGTCTGGTGGTCTGGTGGTCTGGTGGTCTGGTGTTGTGGATCCAACGGCTCGCATAAGGGGCAGACCACCAGACCACCAGACCACCAGACCACCAGACCACCAGACCACCAGACCACCAGACCACCAGACCACCAGACCACCAGACCACCAGACCACCAGACCACCAGACCACCAGACCACCTGACCACCTGACCACCAGACCACCAGACCACCAGACGTTCCAGAACGCCCAAGAGCACTGCCCAGGAGAATATGTAGCCATCACGATCCACTACCCATTGCAAGAAGGTTGAGAGCACACGGGGAGCAACGACAGGCAATGACAACATCGAAGGTGAAATGGGGGCACTGAGGATAAGAACATGGTGTCCCCTTGTGAGCCATCTAACGGAGGTTCGCCATGACAACCGACGCGCTGTCAGATGGGTCTATACCCTCACTGCTGTTCATCGATGAGGCATCGCATTCGGGATGCCGATCCTCAACGATTGTGGATAGATCCTGACTGTAATGAGCTCGGGCACGGGTTGTGTAACAATGCCTCCGCGACATCACCGCATCCTTCAAGCACAGCGAGGCTGGTAACAAAATGGCACCATTGTCGTCCTCCTCAGGATCCTCGGTTATGATGAAAGCTCGCTTTGCTACGACTTTGATCGCTGGTGTTGGGGGGATGACAAGTTCAACATGCTCAAGATACGTTGAACAAATCCCAGGCTCGACACTGCTGTTCACTGCGTCAATGATCCACTTCTCGATCCGGTCTCGCGCAAAACGTGGGAACCAACGTACCAGCTGCCCCTGACGAGGCAACAAGTGACGGCTGCAGTCACCTTCACGGATGAGCAAACTCGGGTGACCAGCATCGAACGAAATGTGCAACTCATCCACCGTCTCTGCCGAACTCTGGCATCCGCCACTGCCGGCCGCGTCGTTCTGCATCGGCGCGCGCCCGCCCTCGTCCAGCGCCGCCTGCTGTGCACGCGCATGTTCTTGGAAAGAGGCTGGCGAGGGAAAGAGCAGGCGATCTACGTCTCGGCTCTCCATGCTCGAAAGCCCGCAGCCGACCAGCCCAGCACCAGAGGGGCCAGGCCCACTGGGGCCCGCGCCCCCCGCGACATCCTCGGCGAGGCCCCTCTTGGCCATCCTTACCTCGCCGACTCTCTGGAAGCTGATGTGTATGTCCGCCCCAGTGGCCCGATAGGGCACCAGGCGCGCGTCGAATTCCAGCGGCTGCCGCCCCTCGCCAAGAGTTTGGGTGAAGGTGGCCAGCACCGGCTCTGCCACGTCCCACTGGCTGACATCGTACAGGCGCGCAACCTTCCAGCGGTCTTCCGAGACGACGGCGTCCAGTATCTGCGTACCCCGCGGATCTCCGCCAAGGAGTAGCTGGAGACTATCGCTGACGTGTGAGATGGTTCCCATCTGCCTCCTCACCGTGCAGTAGCCATCAGTCGCTTTGTCGAGCAGAGTCTGCATGGCGCGTAGCTGCTCCGACATCTCGTGGAAATACGATGCCAAGAGCCACTCGAACAGAGTCATCACGACTGTGATCAGAAGTACTGGGCAGCAAATCTGAGGCGCACAGCTCACAGAGATCAGGACACAAACAAGCAATCCGGAGCAAGCAGCGTAAAATGTGATCAACAGAGAATGCAAGCCGGCAGCATGGCACATAACTACTTTGCACGTCAAGGCTGAGGGCCACGAGTAACTTACAACAACAGACTTTGCATCATTGCTTTGTTGCCAAAGTGCCACACTCGCCCAAAACACAAGAAACAAATAAATGACAACTAACGCATCTGACTTCAACGTCGTCACGGGAAGGCGCACGAACAAAATTGCCAGAGCATATTCGCTCACATAATAAGCAGCAAAATCACACCAGAACCAATAATCTGAGACTGAGCTGGTCAGAGCGAAGACGATGTCCCCGATCAGACACCACGTCACACCGATGCCGTAGTACTTCCACAGCCTACGCCGGCTGATAGGTGAAGACATATACTCTTCTGTCAAAGTCGTTGCCCAAGACCGATACCAAAAGGAGTGCCAGGCGACGCAACATCCAATGCCATCCACTGGTGGCCGGCGGCTGCTTGCTGCCAACAAGAGCTCCGTGTGCATTCCTGCAGACCCGCTCTCCACTCCGAAGCGCGCGCCCCTGTCAAGAGACGGGCTGCTGGCGGCGTCCAGCAGGCTACGGAGGAGCATCTTGGGCTCTTCCTGGATAGTATTGGGTCTTCCTGGGTGGCGTCTCGGGCTGCGTGGGACAGTTGGGAAGCCGAAAAGGCGAAAGAAACAAAATCCTTCAAAAACCTTCGATACATGAATGAATTGTGCCTTTTGTACGGCCTCGTGGTTCGTGGGAGGCCTTGTGGAGGCCTCTTGAGACGTCTACAATGCGGCGCCAATTCTGGCCAATCTGGGGCCGTCATGTGCTGTTTTGGCGGTCTCGAACTGCGTTTTCAAGCAACCCGGGGCCGTCTTCGGGCGATCTTGAAGGGCCTCAGGCGCGCCAGCAGGGCCCTAGGCAGCCCAGTCCACACATCTGTGGTCGGGGGGCCAGCCCGGGGGCCCCTGGACCCAGTTCCCTGTTATGAGCGTGTGTGCATAATATATATATATATATATATATATATATGTGTGTATACATATATACATGTAGATATTCCGATACACATGCATATACATATGCATATGCATTCGCATATACATGTACGTATACATATATACGTGTGTATATATATGTATATACATGTGTGTATGTTTGTACATGTGTATGTATGTATATATATATGTGTGTATGTATGTATGTGTGTTTGTATGTATGTATGCATGTATGTATGTATGTATGCATGTATGGATGTGTGTATGTATGCATGCATGCATGCATGAATGTATGTATGTCTGTCTGTCTGTCTGTCTGTCTGTCTGTCTGTCTGTCTGTCTGTCTGTCTGTCTGCCTGTATGTATGTACGTACGTACGTACGTACGTACGTATGTATGTATGTATGTACATACAGACAACTACATATACACTGGAACCATCGCGCGCGCTTCGCGCGCGCTCAGGTTCTAGCCCAGGCCGGGGGCGCGCTAGAAGATCGTGGACAGCGCTATCAAGCACAGGCGCGTGACATAGTCGTGCCTCCTGAGGGCCTCTTGGGAACCTCTTGGGTCTTCGTGGGGGCATCTGAAAGGCTTCTGGGGTGTTCTCCGTGCTTCCTCAATTGGCTGTTGGAGCCTGGCGGCCCCGGCGGCGTCCCAGGAACGGTCTCAGGTTTTTGGACCGGAGGACGCATGTAGACGTACATGAAGGTTTCTGGGGAAGCCTCTCAGAAGCCCGTTGGGGCTCTCTTGGGGGTCTCCTGGGGGTTTCCTGGGAACCTCGGGGGGCCTCTTGGAAGCCTCTTGGGGAGCCTCTGGAGGCCCTTTGGGGCCTGCCGCGGGCGTCTTGGGGGCCTCTTGGGGCCTCTTGGGGGTCTCTTAGGGGCCTCTTGGGGGCCTCCTGGGGCGGGGGGGCTGGAAGGTTCACTTGGGTTTCCCGTCTTGGGCCCCTCTTGGGGCCCTTCGGGGACGCGTTTGGGCCGTCCTGGGCGCCTCTTGGACTGTCCTGGGCCCCTCTGGGGCCGTCTTGGGGCTCTCTTGTGGGCTTCGTGGGCCGTCTTGGGGCGGTCTAGGAAAAGTCTGAGGTCGTAAAGGACGGTACGAAGGACAAAAAATCGAATATGGTAAAAATATACGTTTTACGAAGGGAAGGGGGCTATTTTTGCTTCCCGGGGCCGTCTGGGGGGATTTCTTGGAGAGGTCTTCGAGCGTCTTGGAGGCGTCTGGGGCGGTTCGAGCCGCCTCTTGAGCCGCCGGACACCGCTGGAGGTTGTCCTCAGGGTGGCTCTGGGCGGCCTTGGGCCGCCTGGACGGCCGTCTGGGCGCTCCGGGGGCCGACCTGGGGCCCGCCGGGGAGCGGGCTGGGCCCGACGTCCCCCCATTTGTGGTCGAGGCTGCGGCCCCGGGGCCCCCGAGCCCGGTGCGGCGTTATATGCATACATATAACTGGCTCGATCGTTTCGAAATGAACCTGAGGGGCGGGGAGGTGTCCCGATATAGTTCACTGTCACATTTCCCCGCTCCTCCCCTCGCCCGTGCCTCCTCCTCCTCCTCCTCCTCCTCCTCCTCCTCCTCCTCCTCCTCCTCCTCCTCCTCCTGCTGCTGGTGCTGCTGCTGGTGCTGCTGCTGCTGCTGCTGCTGCTGCTGCTGCTGCTGCTGCTGCTGCTGCTGCTGCTGCTGCTGCTGCTCGTCGTCACTCCCCCTCCTCCTCCTCCTCGTCCTCCTCGTTCCTTGCTCCTCCCCGCTCCTCCCCTCGCCGTGCCTCATCATCTTCCTCGATATTCCCCAATCAGTGCTTGCACTGAAGGGGTCCTAGCGGACATTGAAAAATTTGGCGAATTTCTCCGCCGATTTTGGTAGGGTTCCCGGTCGATCTCCTTATCGATCTCATTTTCGATCCCATGTCACACCATCCATTGATTAGGGTTTTCCCTTGTGTAATTGACCCCTTCCTGCTCGCTCCTCCTCCTCCCCGCTCCTCCCAGCTCCTCGTTTCCCGCTCCTCCTCCTCCTCCCCGCTCCTCCTCCTCCTCCTCCCCCTCCTCCTCCTCCTTCTCCTCCTCCTCCTCCTCCTCCTCCTCCTTCTCCTCTTCATCTTCCTCCTCCTCCTCCTCCTCTCCTTCTCCTCCTCCTCCTCCTCCTCCTCCTCCTCCTCCTCCTCCTCCTCCTCCTGCTCCTCCTCCTCGTCCTCCTCTTCCTCCTCCCCGTCCTCCTCCTCCTCCTCCTCCTCCTCCTCCTCCTCCTCCTCCTCCTCGTCCTCCTAATGTCCAAAAGCGCTTTTCAAAAATCAATATGGGGGGACAGCTAAAAAAAATGATTCCCTGCGCTGTAGTGTGCATATAGAACACGAAAAGAAAGCGGGGCAGGCAGGACCGCCGGGGACGTCCCCGCGACCGCCCTGGCGCTCCGCGTCCAACAGAAAGCCATTCAGCCTCGCAAAGAAAGCGGGCGACCCGTTGCACCCCCGAAATGATAAAAACAACAAAAATGTAAAGTTGGGATTCTGGGAGCCAACATAAGGCCATTCAGCTTCAGTTCACGCGACAGCCCCGAAACGGCGCCAGCAAAAAACAATCGTAAATTTGGAAATTGGGGAGCCAACATAAGGCCATTCAGCCTCGCAAAAACAACGGGTGGCACGTGTCACCCCCGAAACTACGTGAGAAAAAACAAATGTAAACCGGGGATTCTGAGAGCCAACATCAGACCATTCAGCTACAAAAACAGCTGGTGACAAGTATTAATCGCATCGGCCCCCGTGAAATATGTTCCAGGGGGACAGTCAAAACAATAATTATTCGGCAGTGGCAGTCGGGATCTGGGGGGGAAGGGGGGTATCATTTTTTAAACAGGTATTGGACATTACTTCTCCTCCTCCTCCTCCTCCTACCTCCGCCTCGTCATCCTCCTTCTCCTCCTCTTGTTCCTCCTCCCCATCCTCCTCCTCGTCCTCCACCTCCTCCTCTTCCTCCTCCTCCTCCTCATCCTCCTCGTCATCCTCCCTGGCGGATCGGGGCAGCCTGCAGGGTGGCATCGCTCGCACTGCGACTACAGGAACATGGGCTGGCGCACGAAGGGTCGATTGGCGGGCTGCAACGGCCAGTGCCCGACCGACGCGCATCGCCCTGGTGGGCGTGGTGGCGGTCGCGGTGCTGGCAGTGCCTGGGCGAACGGCCCTCCCTGGCACACATGGCCGAACGTCAGCATCGCGCACCCTCGTGGCGGAGCTCGTGGAGCTGGCGGCGCCCCGCCCCAGAAGCCGCAGCCCCCCAGGCTCTCGGACGCAGCCCGGGCACGCTTCATGGCCTTCGGCGATGAGGAAACTGAGCTGTTCCAGAGCAGCCTGCGCGACAGCGACAAGCAGGGCCTTCGTCAGGCCAGGTTCCTGGCGCGGCAGCAGCTGGGGACCCTTTCGGCCGTCAAGCAAGTCGAGTCGGCGCAGGTGGCTGCTGATGAGGCTGGGCGCCGCTTGGAGAAGGCCAAAGCGGACTGCGGCAAGAAGCAGGAGGCGGCTTCCAGGGCGTCGGAGGCGACCTACGGGCAGAAGAAGAAGGTCGAACAGATGGAGAGCGAGCTCAAGGAGGGGGTGGCGAAGGCGAAGCAGGCCGTCGTGGAGGGCGACTCGCCTCGTCCGAGTGGGGCCCGCCCGCCGCCGCGAGATCGCCCGGCTGCAGCGCTGGCCTGCAAGCACGTGGGCATGGCCAAGTACTTGTCGCCCCACCTGCACGGGGTCGACTTTGGCGACGCTGCTGGGCCGCTCATGGCGCTGCTCCATCTGACTACCTATCAGACCACCCCAACCCAACCCGAAAACCCGACGTCGACCCGAACTTCGGATTTGGGGGGCACGGGTCCCATGTGTTCTTACAGTGTCCCCGGAACTTAGTGGGCCCTGGAAACGGCAGGGCCGTTTTTTCACCGTTTCCGAAAAAATGTCCCTTGTAAATGGAAACGGCAAAAAAACGGCGACCGGAAACGGCAACAAAAACGGCTCCTGGATTAAAACCAGAGCCAAAACCGGTCAAAAAACGGCGACGGAACTGGTAGAAAAAAGCGTCGGTGCCGGCAAAAAAACGGCAAAACGGAACCGGTAAAAAAACGGCCCTGTCGTTTCCAGAGCCCACTCAGCCCCAGACCCCACCACTGGAAATGGAGGGCACCTTGAAGCTTTCGGGCTGGGCCGGGGTGGTTTGGCGGGCGATGACCATCAGCTCAGCAGCGGCGCGGTGCAGTTCAGGGCCGAGGGGCAGGCGGCGGCAGGGGCGGCAGCGCCCGAACCCTCCGCGGAATCCTGGCGCACCTGCTGCGCCTGCGGCTCCCGCTCCGATGTAGCAACAGTCTTACAGTCTTAACAAGACGGCACGTCCGACCCAACAGCGTTTTTTTGTATCACATTCTGAAATTTAATGCCCTCATGAAGCCCTCTTGGGCTCCCCGGGAGCGCCGTGCGAGTTTCCCCAGCGATCCCGCAACCTTTCAGCAAGTTTCTCGGCCGCCCATTCAGAAGCCGCTGAAGCGCCCCAGAGGGCATATGCGACGGACGGTGGATCCTCGCTCTCGGCCGCCTCGTTCAGCTCTGCTGCCGGCGAGCTCCGCGGCGGCGGCGCCGAGGGGCGCAGGTGGCTCTCGAGGGCTTCCGGGCGCAGCACGGCAGCCAGGCGCAGGAGAGGTCGCGGCAGGGGCAACAGAACGTGGCGCTTCGCGGCACTGAACATGAACACGTTCTCGTACCCCGACAAGTGAATGACCGAGGAGACTGCGAGAACGCCAACGTCATTCAGCGCGGCGCTAACGGCGGATGTTGAAGGAGAGTTTCGCCGTCGTGGGTGGCGTGCTGCTTGAGCTGCGGCCCTACCATCGCAGGCAGGAGAGCTGGCGACTGGTGGTCTCATCACGCTTAGGCGGGGCGGACTGGGCCATCCAGAAGGTGGGTCGCCAAAAAGGTGTACGGACCGGCGTTCGGGAAAACATCCCACGAGTTTGGGAACGTCGTTCCGCGCGAGGGTTCAGGGCAATTCGGCCCCTCGATTCGCAGACCGCTTTCGCGCCGACACCGGTCCGCCCGGAAGCGGGATCCAGCCGCGCGAGTGGCGCCGAATGGTCCGTGGGGCCATCCGTGGAGATTGCTTTGCTGCCACCCTCTACCCTTCTCGTCTCCTTATCCTCGTCGAAGGCCACGCTCTGTCACGTCGCCGCGGCGGCCGTTGCCCTGCTCTCGCTTGTGCACGCTCCCTTGCTGGTGGTCCTCCTGCCCCATCCAACCACTCCGTCTCCCCGCCACCCCTCACTCTTCCCCAGATCCTCCCTCCCCCGCCTCCCTCCTCCCCCCGTCCCCCTCTCCCAGTCCCTCCACTGTCTTCTCTTTCTCTCTCTCTCGCTCTCTCTCTCTCTCTCTCTCTCTCTCTCTCTCTCGCCGTCGCGCGCCCTTGTCCACTGCCACTCCTCTCTCCCAATCCAATCCTCCCCCCTGCCCCCCCGCCCTCCCGCCCGCCGCCATCTGCCCCACCCGCCCCTCCCGGGCTCTCATCAGCAGGGCTGTCCTTGAGATCCCGGACGCCCTCCCGAACGCCATTCTGCCAGGCCGCTTTGAGGCGCCAAGCAGGCCATCGGACCGGCTCATCGCCTCATGGGGGGGGGGGCCGCCTGGGGCCCCAGGTAATTAGGCCGACGCGCCCCGCGCCGGGCCCGGCCGCCCCGCGAGGCCCCGAGTGGTCCATCCATCCGGCTCGTGGTAGCCGTTCCGCGGGAAGCCTTCCGGCCCGCGCCGCTTCGAAGTCCCGGGAAGGCCAACGGACCGGCCGATCGCCGGGGGCCCCAAGTAAGCCATCCATCCGGCCATCGGAACCCTTGTCCACTGAATCGCTGGAAAGGCGTTCCGCGCCCTGGGGGGGAGCTGTTCCGCGGGCCAGGCCACCCTCCCCCTCCCCTCCCGTTCCCTCGTTCCCCCCTCTCTCTGCCTCTCTCCACCCTCCGTCCTCCTCGCTCCTCCGCCCCCCTCCCTCCTCGTCCGCACAATGCACCTCCTCCATGTAGTTCCATGCAGCACATATCTGCGTTCCAAGAGAATCCTGGCAAAAGACGAGAAACCGGGAAAAAATTGCGACGACGATGCCCGCGCGAAGTGGTGGCTACCGCCTCCTCGTCCTACCCGATCAGCCTCCCCCGCCTGCGATGACACATCTCACGGAGGCAACTTCGCCGCGTCTAGAGCAACAACAAAACAGAAGAGGTCGCAAGAACGTGGTGTACGTTGATATGCAAGCAGCGTGGAAAGGCCGAAACAGCCCTGATGTCATCCATCTGACCAAAGCTGCCTCCCGCCAAAACGGTCGGGGCGAGCGGTGCAAGTGGGCGGCTCCACGACGCGCATTCCCTACTGTGGTGTCATGCGCCCCTTCGTGCCATCTGCCCGATGAGTGGCCCACTCGTCCATGCACCCCCCGGATGGCCCAGTTCGCCCCTTCCGACACGCGTTCTCGGCTGGAGCACGGATGGACTGGCGCCAGTCATGTCCGTCCGTCATTCCAGAGGGGCGAGCGCAGCTCCTTCATCCTGCTGGAGTCGCACCCTGCGGCGGCGCTGTCGTGGCGAGTGTGCGCCTCGAGCCGGGGGTCGGACTCAACGCGCTCAACTACCACACGCTGCGCGACCTGGCGGGCAGGCTGCGCGAGCACGGATGCCCACACGTGGTCGGGGGTGATTTCAACGTCACCAAGAGCGAGCTCGAGAAGCGCGGCGTGTTGCGGCACTTCGAGGGCCGGGTGGTGGACGCGCTGGAGGCGACGCGCGTGCAAGTGCAGCGGTCCGTCGACATGTCTATTGTCTCCCAGGCGCTGGAGGTGATCGGCATCCAGGTGGTCAGCGGGTCGCCCGTTTACCCTCATCGGCCTGTGCTTCTCAATCTGAAAGCGACGCGGCAACCCCCGTGGATCCGCCCGTTCGACGTGCCGAAGCCCTTCCCGCAGGCACGGCCCGCTGGGTGCCTGCGCGAGGATCCTGCACCCAGGTGGAGGTCTGTTCGCGATCGGCTGGCGCAGGTGCTGGACGTCATTCCTGATATCATCGCTAGTGGGGAATATCCCAGAGATCCGATGTCGTAATTTTTCCGTGCGGGGTCCCATGAAATCTCGACCCATTCCCCATGCAGGGCTGGTTCTTCATCCTGGGTCGTCTTTTTGACGGTCCCGGGACCCGGCGAGGGCCCCGCGAGGCCGAAAAGTACGAAAAACCTACGTCTTGATTTTTCCAATACGTTGGATCTCTGGGATGGTCGCGGCCGCGAGCCGCAGGCTTGGCCTCCGGGGCCGGGCAGCTGGCCTGCCCGAGGCCGCCGGCTGGGCCGCCAGGGCCGGCCAACCAGGCCGCCAACGCGGCGCCTCCCTCTGGCGCGAGCCCGGGCCCGCCGCCGGGCCCGCCGCCGGGGCCGCCAGGCGCGATGCCGGGGCCGCGCCTGGGGGGAGCTCCACGAAGAATGCGAGCTCCCGATTAACAACAAAAGACCCCCCCCCTCCTCGGGGCCGACGAATGGACCCCGCGGCAGGGGGGGCGGCGGCGGCGACGACGGCGACAGAGGCGGGGAGGAGGGCGACCCGCCTTGCTCGGGTCGGACGAAAGGCTGGGGAAGGAAAAGGGGAGGTTCAAAGCCTGTTACACGCAGCTGGTTTCGGTCGCCCCGCCGAAGAGCCAATCCTCGACGCGCGGCCGCTTTCGGCGCCAGGAGGCGCCTGGGGATTCGGCGGCGCGAGCTGCGTGGCAAATCCGTCCGTCGCTGCGCCAGCTATCGCCCGGCCCACCTTGCCCGCAGAAGGGCGCGCGCAGCCTGCCGACGGTCAGCGGCCGCTGGCCGCGTCTCGGCCAAAGCCACGCGGTCCCACAGGATCGCCAACGCGCTGAAGGTCGCGGGGTGCGTCGGCCAGTCCCCCGTTCGACTGCGGGCCCTACAGGGTGCTCGCAAGTTGCTGGCGAAGGCGCCTCGCCTGACCAGAGGTGCTTCCACTTCGGACAAGGTCTCGCCGTCTCCAGGAGGTGCCCGTGGATCAGCTGCGGCGGCAGTCGCTAAGCAGCCTGCAATTGGACGCGCTGGATGTCGGCGCGCTGCCTCAGCCGAGCAACGGGGTGCACGAGGCGGCGCTGCATCTGAGGGAGCGAAACATGGCGGAGCGCAACACCAGGCTCCATCACCAGGTCGCCAGGGAAGCCGTCGGTGGAGGCGGCGGCTTTCACGCCGTCCACCGCTTGGTCACGGGCTTCGACGCCAGTCCCAGCGGGCCCACCGCTGGCGACGACGACTGCGGCCCCCAGAAGCAGGGCAAGTTGGCGCCGCTGGAAGTCGGCGCCGAGGTCGTCGCGCTGAAGCAGGGGTGGCGTACCTGGCGGGGGACGCCCTGACAGCGGACGGCGCCGCGCTGGCCGCCCGACCTGGGCGAGAGGCCGGCCCGGCCATCAGTGGAGCAGCTGCGAAGGTCCTTCGCTCGTTCAAGATGGGCACGGGCGTGTCGTTCTGCGCCGCGCGGCCGCGGCAGCTCCTCGAGCTCTGCGACGAGGCGCCGGAGGTCTTCGTTGACATCTCCGAGGCGGTGGGGCGCGACGCGACCTGCCCCCAGACGACCAACGATATCTGCTTCATCCAGACGCGGCTCGGCCGCGTCAGGCCCATCGCGATCACCATGGAGCTGCATGGAGCGCGTGCAGGTCGGGCTTCGGCGAGGGATCGCGCGTGACTTGGAGGCTCGCAATGCCCGACCCTACTGGCGGGCGTCGACGGGCCGCAGCTCCGAGAGGGTCGCGCGGCATCAGGCGGCCATCGGCGAGTGCGCGACAAAGCGAAGCGAGCTACCCCAGGACGCCGAAGCCCGGGTCGCCGCGGCCGCCCTCCTGGAATTGCTGAAGGCCTTCGAGCAGGCGAGGCGCCACTGGCTGACCGACGCGGCCAGGGCCGCTGGCTCCCCGCTGCGGCAACTCAAATTGCATGCAGGCGGAGCTGCACCGCGCGCCGAGCGTGCTCACACTGGGACAGGCTGCGTCGGACGCAGCGGAGGCCGCGCAGTCGGCGCTCCGCTCCGCGACGACCATGCAGAAACTGATCCTGGTCGGGATTGGGCCGCTGGACCGCCTCGCACAGCAGCGCCCGACCATCTCGCCAGCGGCGGCGTTGGGCGACTCGATGCTCCACCGCGTCGGCGGCCTGGCGCGCGTCACTCGCGAAGTGGCCGACGCGGCGTTCAAGCTCAAGGCGCTGCTGCGGGAGGTCGACCTGGACGTGGCCGCGAAGAAGTCGCGTTCGCTAGCGAACCTTCCGCAGGCACGGCACGTCCTGAAACGCCGGCTAAAGCGGCCGATCGGAGCGCAGTCGGCACAGGGAGGGCGCAACCTCAGCGTGGACCACGCGCGTGGCAGACGCATTGCGCGCAAGGTGGGGAGGAAAAACTGGCGCTGGCTGGCCTTCGGCCGCGGCGAGTGGCCTGCCCGAAGACCGGCGCTGGATTCGCAAGGTGGCGCGATCTGGACTTGAAGCAAGCGCCCCCTACGGCTTCGCCGCCACGGGCCGCGCGGCCACGGAGCTGGACAAACTCGGGGCGGTCGCATTTACAGCCGTCGCGCCTTCGGCGGCTGGGGGGCCCAGGACGCCCACGCTCATGTTGACGCCGTTCCTCGACCCGATGCACCGCGCCACGGCCCTGCCCATCATGGCCATGCCTGGGGCCGCGCGGGAGCCGCGGGTTCCCCGGCACATCATCGAGCACGGTCTCGAGTAGTGCGTGGCCGCCAGCTGGTGCCAAGCGCGGGTGGCCTTTGCGGCCGCGCGCACGTCGCTCGAGCGGGTGGGGCGGTCCATCGCGGGCGGCAAGAACTAGGTCACCCACGACGGGGTCAGCATCAATGTCTTCGAGGTGTCGCCCTGGGCCCCGAAGCCGCTGTGGCGCGCGGTCGAGGGGCATTTGGCGGCCGGCGGAGTGCTGGGGCCTCTGGCGCGCCATACTACCACTGGCACGGTCAGTCGCCATGAAGCTTTCGGACGGCAACTTCAGGCACAATCGTCGCCACGTGGACCCGCCGGTGCTACGATTCGCCTCGCGCCGGAGGAAAAGGGCCACCTGGCGTCGGTCGTCGTGGATGGCCAGTGGTCCCAGAGCCGCGAGTTCGACAGCGGCATGGCGCTCAATGCAGATTGCTTGCTGTGTGGCGAGGCGGGCACTCTGCTGCGCGCGCCACTGTGGCTGCCCTGGGTGGCCCGCTGGGCTGCAGTTGCCTGCCCCGATGAAGAAGCTACTGGCGCGCGTGGACCTGCGCGAGCTTCAGATCCCACTGGAGCGGGCGCTGTGGCCCGCGCCTCGCGGCCTTCAGCTACCTGGTCGACGACCTGACGCGCGCTGGCTCGGGCAGACTGTGGGCTGCCCGCCGTCAGGCGAGATCTTCCTGGACAGCTCGGCGTTCGAGGGTGACTTTCGTAAGTGCACCAGCGCGGGCTGGGCGGTCATCGCCACTGCGGTCTCAGGCGCGCCGTGCGAGCCCCTGGTCGACATCAACGGAGGTGAGCTCTCGGCGCTCCTCGCGGCGCTGATGTTTGCGCTGCCTCCTGTCACGGCGATCGTCGACAGCAATTTCGTGCTCCTCAGCCTCACGGAGCTGGGAGAGGAGCGCACCACCTCCCATCAATACGCGTGGGCGCACCTGTGGCGGGAGGTCTGGCGGTTGCTGCGCGAATTCGGGGGCATTGGCGCTGCCGGCCTCTCCGCGCGGGAGGTGCCTGCGCGACTTCTGCGGAAGCAGATCCTGGACGGCCGCACCACGCACCGCGACTAGCACGGCAACAAGCTGGCGGACCAGGCGGCGATGAGTGCTGCTGCCCATGGACGGCTGGCGCTGCGGGATCGGCAGCGCCTCGCGTGCGCACGGAAGACCGTAGAGGGCGTGGCGTTGTCGATCTCGGCGATGGCCCGGCATCGGGTCGCCAAGCCCAACAAGCCTGCGCCGATGGCGGCTGTGGTGGCGGCGGCCGCGGTGCCGCGGCTGGAGTGCCAGCTGCGCGGCGAGCCCGGCAAGAGGTTGTGCTCGGTCTGCCGCTGTCGCGGCGAGCGCCCAGGCACCATCGACACCGCGACGTGCCACTCCGCCTCCTCCTCCTCCTCCTCCTCCTCCTCATCCTTCTCCTCCTCCTCCTCTTCCTCTTCCTCCGCCTCATCCTCCTCCTCCTCCTCCTCATCCTCATCCTCCTCCTCCTCAGCATCATCATCATCAGCAGCAGCAGCATCAGCATCAGCATCAGCATCAGCATCAGCATCAGCGCTCCCGAGAGTGCCCCAAGAGGGCCCCAAGAGGTGGCCAGGAGGCCCCAAGAGGCCCCCAAGAGGCCCCCAGGATGCCCCCAAGAGGCTTCCAGGAGACCCCTAAGAGGCCCCAAGAGGCCCCCCAGAGGCAATCAAGACGCTCCAAGAGGCCTCGGCGACAATGCCAAAATCACTGATGTTACTAAGGTTTTGGCCACATGTTGGCCTCCTGGGGGGGAGGGGGGCACTACTTAAGATGACTCCAAGAGCGCCTGGGAGAGCCCAAGATGACCTCCAAGATGGCTCAAGATATCCCAAGATGCCTCAAGATGGCTCCCACGATACTCCAAGGGGCCCCAAGACCGCTCCACGACGGCTCCAAGTGGCCAAAGAGCTCCCCCAGGAGGCCCCGAAGAGGCCAACATACTTCCGAAACCTTGTGAAAATCCATGTGTTTGGCTTTCTCGCCTTTTCGCTTCCCATGGCCATCCGAGGCTTCAAGATGGCTCCAAGATGGCCCAAGAGGGCTCCAAAAGCGCTCCCAAGGCTCCCAAGAGCGCTTCAAGAGGGCGGCCCCAAGAGGCGCCCAGGAGGCCCCAGGAGGCCCCAACAGGCGCCCAAGAGGCCTTCAAGAGGCTCCCGAGAGACCCCAAGAGACCCCAAGAAGCTCTCCGAGGCACCCAAGACGCTCTAAGAGGCGTCCAGGACCGCCAAGAGGCCCCCAAGACGCTCCAAGAGGCCTCCACTGGGGGACCCTTCCTCTGTGTGCTGCCCACTTCCCTGATCGAGGCAATTCCTCTGGGCATCGTTTCTGGATGAGCTGGTGGGGTTAGGAGAAGCGTCTAGAATTTTGGCATGACTGAAGACTGTCAGACTCAGACAGCTAGCTGTCTTTCAATGGGCCACTTCCCGCAATGGAAACAAGTTTTGCAGTGATCTATGAAGAGGGAAATTGGAGGAACGGTGCATTGCACCATCGTTGATACGCCTTGGGTTTACCCTGGTCTTCCTCCTCCTCCTCCTCCTCCTCCTCCTCCTCTTCCTCCTACTCCTCCTCCTCCTTCTCCTCCTCCTCCTCCTCCTGCTCCGCCTCGCTCCTCCTCCCCGCTCCTCGGGTCAGCAAGAAACCAAAAGACTGCAATGCAGGACAACGAAACTGCAGCGCAGGGCGTCGCAGACACGGGTCAGCCAATATGCGCGGCCGCCTCGCGGCCACGAGCGGCTCGCTAACCCGGGTCGGACAGAGGGGTCTTCGCAGGATCCTGCAGGATCCGGTGTCCTGGCTGACCCCCGTTTGCATCAGGTCGGGCATGTCCCCCTACAGCGGGATTTTGGGCGAAAAATATGGGCGAAAAAAAAACACCAAAAATGCCCCCCCAAGTGGGCAAAAATAGTTTTCAAAAAATCGGCCCCGTGCCAGTTTCTGACTACTTCTGAGTACTCCTCCTGTAGAGGGCCAGGCCCGACTTGACGTTTGCGCTGGCCCGCGTCTCAACGTTCTGACCCGGGTCAATCCAGACTCAGGTCAGTCAGGCCTTGCAAAATCTTGCAAGACCCTGCAAGATCCTGCACCCAAACCCGGGTCAGTGCGAAGGATCCTGCAAGATCCCGCAGGATCCTGCACCCAAACCCGGGTCAACGCGACCCTGGCGTTGCAGGATCTTGCAAGATCCTGCGCTCTGGCTGACCCCGTTTGCATTGACCCCCATCTCGAGACTCCTCCTCATCCTCCTCCTCCTCCTCCTCCTCCGCCTCCGCCTCCGCCTCCGCCTCCGCCTCCGCCTCCTCCTCCTCCTCCTCCTCCTCCTCCTCCTCCTCCTCCTCCTCCGCGTTCTGGCTGACCCCCGTTTGCATCCACCCCCGCCTCGAGGCTCCCGAATTCCCCGGCCGAGGCCGCCGCCGGCGCCTCGCTCGACTGCCTCGCCGCGTCTTCTGCGCGACCGACGGCCTCGCCGCCGCACGGGCGGGGGGGGGGGCCAGCGGGCGCGCGGGGCCGCCCGACGCCGGGTTCGCATCGGCCAGACTCTCCTGGCCTCAGGTCGGGCACGTCCACCTGCGGGCGGATGTTGGACGAAAGCAAATCCAAACTGACAACCAAAAATCACAAACATGCACGAAAAATATCTTTTTCTGACTATTTTTGAATATCCCCCCTGCAGCGGGACGTGCCCGATTTAATCTCAGCCCAGCCCAACACATCTCCGAAACCTCACGTAGCATCATCTCTATCAGGGGGGTGCAGTGGCCGAAATTGTGCCCAAACATTCGCCTGAGTACAGTCGTCGGCCTGACCTAAGGAACGATAACTGAGGAACGAAGCCCTTTGTTCAAAAGAAAAACGCATAAGGAACGAGACATCATAGATAACGCATGGAACGATAATAACGCATGCAAGCCTGAGGAATGACCAAGCCCCTTTGAGAAGTAAGTGCTGCTTATTCAAGCCGCTCATTGTAGCCCAGCACATATCCGAAATCCCACGTAGCTCCACCTCTACCAGGGGGGGGCGCAGTGGCCGATATCGTACCCAACGAGTATGACAGGAAACTGGCGCCCGAGATTGCCCGGCCGCGCCCGAGTGTGACCGAGTGGCGCCCAATATGACTTTCAGCTTCGGTCGCAAATTCGGTCGTTCTACATGTTCGGTCGCCAGTTCGGAACCGTTTTCAGACACATACTTGTCGGTCACACTCACCTGTTTGACGGATTAGGGCTGGGCGCCATGGCTCATGAATCCAGCCCCTCCACCAGTAGAAGACAGGGCAGTGTTTAATACATTGGATGTTTTAAGATATGATGTTTTCACACGTGTTTTGTGTATGAATAGATGTATGCACGAACTCATCGTTGCTTTTAATACTAAGTCCCTGCATGTTTGATACATGATCCGCACACGGAGCATGGATTAAAAACGGCACTGGAATAACAGAAGGCATAAACATGATTTCTCGGAGGTCCCTTCGGATTTCTTGGAACGGCACTGGGCCCTGCTCGTGGCGCGCGGAACGCGCAAGGGGCAGCGCCAGAGGCGCCGCCAGCTGCTGCTGCGCGGCGCACCAACCACAGTGCAGGCTCCGAGTCGCAGGGTGCTTTGATGTTGAAAGGGGAGGAGGTAGGGAAGGACAGAGGGACGCGGGTGTCTCTGATCGGACGGGTCCTCCTCCTCCTCCTCCTCCTCCTCCTCCTCCTCCTCCTCCTCCTCCTCCTCCTACTCCTACTCCTACTCCTCCTCCTCCTCCTCCTCCTCCTCCTCCTCCTCCTGCTCCTCCTCCTCCTCCTCCTCCTCCTCCTCCTCCTCCTCCTCCTCCTCCTCCTCCTCCTCCTCCTCCTCCTCCTCCTCCTCTCTCCTCCTCCTCCTCCTCCTCCTCCTCCTCCTCCTCCTCCTCCTCCTCCTCCTCCCTCCTCCTCCTCCTCCGCCTCCTCCTCTCCGCCTCCTCCTCCTCCTCCTCCTCCTCCTCCTCCTCCGCCTCCGCCTCCGCCTCCTCCTCCTCCTCCTCCTCCTCCTCCTCCTCCTCCTCCTCCTCCTCCTCCTCCTCCTCCTCCTCCTCCTCCTCCTCCTCCTCCTCCTCCTCCTCCTCCTCCTCCTCCTCCTCCTCCTCCTCCTCCTCCTCCTCCTCCTCCTCCTCCTCCTCCTCCTCCTCCTCCTCCTCCTCCTCCTCCTCCTCCTCCTCCTCCTCCTCCTCCTCCTCCTCCTCCTCCTCCTCCTCCTCCTCCTCCTCCTCCTCCTCCTCCTCCTCCTTTTTTTCCTCCTCGTCCTCCGCCGCCTCCTCCGAAAGCTTCTTCCCCTGTTCCTCCCCCCGCCCCTGGCCGTGGCCGCGGCGCCTCGTCACGCTCCCGAGCCAAGCCCTCGGCCCGCCGCAGGGCCTCGGCACCGAGAGGCGGCGGGGGGGCGGAGAGGGCGGCGCCGAGTGCCTGGCACGGAGCGGGACGAAGAGGAGGAAGGCGAGCAGGAAGAAACGCAAGTTGGCTCGCCGCCGTGCGATCCCCCCGCCCTTTTGTCCAGGGCCATCGCTCCCGCCTCCCCCCAGGCACCCCCCGCCCCACCTCTGCCTCCTGGCGCCCCCCCGCCGTCCCCACACGATGCGTGCACGCTCGTCTCCGCCTCCCTTCTCCTCGCCCTCCTCCCTCCGCTCCCCAAGCCTCATCCTCTGCACCCGCCTCACTCCAAGAGTGCCCTACACGAGCACAAGCAAGGACGGAAGGAAGGAAGAGGGGAAGATGACGAAGACAAGAAGAGACTCCCTGACACGTTTGAGGAGTGGGTCACATGTTACGACTCTCCCAGGCGTCAGACGCGCCCACCCACCCACCCACCCACCCACCTCAGGCGCCTTGGCCACGCCCATCCGCCCGACTCTGTACCCTCCGCAAGCCCGCGCCCGACCCAACCCAGAGCCGGGGCAGGCGAAACAGCACCCCAGTTCGAGCCACTATTAACACACGGCAAGCATTCGTGCGCTTGGGAGAGGTCAGCAGCGGCGGCTGCGATAAGAGCTTCTACGGGATTGCAACGCAAGCCTGGAATCAGGCCATCGATGATAGTGACATGGAGACATTCCTCCCTCCTCCCTCGCCGCTTCCTTCTCCCTCATTCCTTTATCCTCCCCACGGCACCTCCCATCCTCCTCCTCATAATGATTATTATCTTCCTCATCATCCTCGCCCTCCTCCTCCTCGTTGTTTTCCTTGAAATATTATTCCTCTTCCATCCCCTCCGCCTCCTGACATGATCAACCAGATCCTCGTGTTCCTCCGCCGCTTCCATGGCCTCCCTTTCCTACTCCTCCTCACGTTATTCCTCCGCCTCCGTCTCCTCCTCCTCCTCCTTCTCCTCTTCCTCCTCCTCCTCCTCCGCCTCCTCCTCTTCCTCCTCCTTCGCCTCTCCCTCCTCCTCCTCCACCTCCTCCTCCTCCTCCTCTCCTCCTCCTCCTCCTCCGTCTGCTCCTCCTCCTCCTCCTCCTCCTCCTCCTCCTCCACCCGCCCACCCACCTCGGCCGCCTCCTCCTCCTCCCCCTTCCTCTTCCCACTTCGCGCTGCCCCCCGGCCGTGGCCGCCGCGCCTCGTCGCGCTGCCTCGCCGCGTCCTCGGCGCGCTCGGCGGCCTCCGCTGGCGGCGACATGGATGATGGGCTCGTCTTCCACCACCACCACCGTAAGTTGGAGGGGGGAAGGAGGAGGAGGAGGAGGAGGAGGAGGAGGAGGACCCCCTCCCCCATCCAGCTTGTGGTGGTGGTGGTGGCAGACAGGCCCGTCCATGGAGGCGGAGGTGGGAGCCACGCAAACCAGGCGGAGGAACGCCTCACGGCCAGCCTGCGGACTGCCAGAAGACACGCCACCGCTGGGGCGCCGACCCGAGGAGTCCCTCGAGTGCACGTCCGTCGGAAGAGGGAGGCAGAAGCATGAAGTAGGAAGGCGGATAAAGTGGATTGGGTCCAGGCCCCCCCAGAGAATTAACAAGACACAGCAAAAGCGTGCCGATTCTTGAAGTAGGAAGGCGCTTGAAGTAGATTGGGATCTGGAAATCCAAAAATACCTACTTTCAACGACCGGCGTGCAAGGAACCGGGACCTCTCTGTCTCGCAAGTGTAACTTCGATCCCCCATGGAAAACCTGAGGCAAGCCGTGAAACAACTGAGGAGCACGGAGCCCCTCCCCCAGCAAAAAGGGTTCCTTCAGGGTTCGACCTAAACGGTGTTTTGGCGATGTCATGGGCCGTCTTCGTTTCGATTTCGTTTTGCGTTGAAGGCGGACTGAAGACAGAACGAGGGAGAACGAAAACAAGACGAAAACGAAAAAAAAACGCTCAGGTTCAGCCCTGGGCTCCTTCTCCTGCGCCCCGACCGCACTCATCCCTGTGCTGCCGCAGGACTGTGAGAGACAAAGCCCCTGCCTGGCCCAAAGTGAGGAACGGGACACCTCTCTGTCTCACAAATGGAACCTCGATCTCCCATGGAAAACCTCGATCTCCCATGGAGACGACCGAGGAGCACGGAGCCCCTCCCCAGCGAGGAGGGGGCTCCTTCTCCAGCGCCCCGACCGCACTCCTCCCCGAGGTGCCGCAGGACTGTGGGGAGACAGAGCCCCTGCCTGGCCCGACACCGAAGCGCCCCGGGGGGCACGAGGGGCGCCGGAGGGGCGCCCACGGCGAGGGGCGCGAGGAGCGGCCGGCCCCCCGTCCGAGCCCGAGCTGCCGCTCGGTGCCGCGCCTTGGCAGTGGGCTTGAGTTGGGCGTGTCCCCCTGCAGGGGGGTGTTCGACGAAGAATAACGCAGATTCAAAAAGTACCCCAAACTTGTCAAAAAAATACCCCCTAAAAATGGTCCCCAGACTATGTTTCCACGATGTTTGCACTTTCCTCTTGTAGAGGGACAGGCCCGACTTAACCCTAACCCCGCCGTCTGGTCTAATCACGGGGGGGCCTTGGCAGGCGCACAGGAAGATGCAAGGCCGCCCACGGCGAGGGCACAGCAGAAAAAACCGACGATGGCGAAACCGAAACCAACCGACACCGACAGACCACAAGCAGCGTTCAAGGGCGCGGCGACACAGCAACGATACAGCAACCGACCGAGCCGAACCGATCGAACGCAACCGACTGCGACACAACCGAACCGACTGAACCGCGGACACCCTTCGAGATGCAACTACAGAAGGTTCGTGTCCTGACGAGTCGTGTCCTGATTCTTGACACCGCGCGGCGAACGTTCGACCTGGAACGATCGCGGCTAGCAGGTAGCGCAGATTCCTCGACGACGGCCGAGTCTGGGCCACCGGTGGCATCCAACCTGGAACGCCCGAGCTGGGATCGCCGCCGCGCCTGCACGACCCGAACCTACCGTCAGCAGGCTGGGGGAGGCCAGGCAGAGAGCGGCGGATCCCACGAGAGACGAGGCCGCCTCCGACGACCAAACAGAGCCCCTTCCCCGCACCCGTCCCTTCCGCACCCACCCCAGCTGCCCGTCTGGCTGTATGGGGCCGCGATGGCCTGCTCCTACCCCTCCCTCTCTTCCCCACTCGTCCTGTGGTTCCTCCTCCTCCTCCTCCTCCTCCTCCTCCTCCTCCTCCTTCATCCTCATCATCATCATCATCATCATCATCATCATCATCATCATCATCATCAGCAGCAGCAGCAGCAGCATCAGCATCAGCATCAGCATCAGCATCATCATCATCCTCTCTGCCATCCTCCCGCCCCAAGCCCTCCCCGTCCTCCTCCGCACGCCCCGTCCCGCTCCCCTCCTCCACCTCGTCCCTCGTCGCATCCTGCTGCCACTCCTCCTCTTCCTCCTCCTCCTCCTCCACCTCCTCCTCCTCCTCCTCTTCCTCGTCCTCCTCCTCCTCCTCCTCCTCCTCCTCGTCCTCCCCCTCGTCCTCCCCATCCTCCCCTCCCCGCTCCCCCGCCTCCCCCCCTGCCGGCGCGGTCTCCCCGGCGTGCTGGCGAGGCCTCCCCTGGAGGAGAGACGAGCGCGCTCCACTGCTCGCAGAGTGACTACTCTTAAGTCGGGCCTGTCCCCCTGCAGGGGGATTGTCGACGAAATAAAACAAATACTCCAAAAATACCCCAAAAAGGTCCAAAAATACTCAACAAATAATCCCCCGACTATTTTTGGACTATGTTTTGACTATTCTTGGGGCATCTTTTATTTGTCGTCGAAAATCCCCCTGGAGGGGGGGACATGCCCGGCTTCAGCCTCCCCTGGAGGATACACGAGCGCGCTCCACTACTCGCAGAGTGACTACTCGCAAATGGCCTGGATCCGCCGTGGGGGATCTACGATGCATTACATCGAAGCAGCCACGTGCTCTTCGGACGTTTGCTCGCAGGCACTCTGCGAGCAGTGGACCCATCTCGGTGCGGCGGGGTCACTCCCCGGCGTGCTGGCGAGGCCTCCCCCCGAGGAGAGGCGGGAGGAAGTGCTGGCGGCGGCGGCGGATCTGCACATGTCCAGGTCGTCTGAGCATCAAAGCCGTGGACGAGGGGAGCAAGAAGACATTTCGGGGAGACGTAAGATTCGGGTACGGGGGACTCGGGTTGGCCCGACGGGGCCATCATAAAAATGACGAGGCACAATCTGAAATTTGACGCGAGCTCCCGCTGCAGACATTACACGAAAACTGGACCGTCAAAATCCAAGACGCGCTCGTCAAAAAAACGTCGGCAAACCCGAGTTCCGGCTCACTCGGGTCTTGCGTTCCCCCGAACATTGTCAGAGGGCAGAAAATCCACCCCGATAAGAACCACCCCGGCACGTGAAGCCGTTTCGTAAGCGCACCCACAGAAGGAATCAAGCAGGGCAGACCTGTTCAGTAAACGCCCAAGACCGTTTAGTAAACGCCAATTGTCCAGTCCGGGTGGGTTTCTCTTCCCTTGAATTGTGACCCAGTCAGTCAAAGCGGGCGGAGGCCCCTTCCCCAACGACCGAGTTGAGGACACCTCGATCGTGGCACAAGGCATGCAGTGGCTCAAGACAGGAGGAAGCGGAGGTGGAGGAAGAAGAGATCGCTGAACTATCCATGAGGCGATGCACGTGCTACTGGGGTGGGGCGGCGGGGGGGGGGTAACGGTAACGGCGGCCGGACTGTACCCCCGAGGGCGCGCCCGCAGCACCGGCGCGTGTGTTTACGCCAACGCCTGCGTGCACCACAGCGCCTGTGTGCACAATGCCTTTGTTCACCCCAGCACTTGCGCGCACCATGGCGCCACGTCGCCTGTGTACACCATAGCGCTTCTGTGCACCTCAGCACCCGCGTGCACAACAGCGCCATTGCACACAGCACTGCCTGCGTGCACTGGAACGTTTCTGTACACCACGGTGCCTGCGCACATCACAGCAGCCGTGTGTTCCGCACTGTGACCGTGCACCAGCGTCCTCGTGCACCATAACTCTTGTGTACACGACAGCACAGCGCCTGTCGAGACCACGGCATTTGCTTGAACCACGGTTGCAATATAATGAGGAAGACGAGGACGATGAGGAGGCAGGCTACGACGACGACGACAACAACAACGACAATGCCTCTGCACCTTCGGGAGCCTCCAGGCCATGTCGGTCGTGCTCGTCGTCGTCATCCTCCTCCTGCTGATCCGCTCCCCTGAAAATATGGTCAGGACTTTTCCCTTGCATTGAGCCGAACGCAAGCGAGCGTCGGACACAAAATTGTCACGAAAACCCACTTGCCACGCAAGATGCCTAGGCGTTGAACACACGCATTTGTCTCACCCTGTGGCGACGCTATGTTGTAACAGCCCCCCGCGGCCAATTGTTTTGCCGAACGAAACGGCGGGTGAGAAACTCATGAACTCATATCAACTGAACTGGGCAACATTACTTGTGATGGCAAAAGACTTAAAGCCAAGACGCCATTCTAGCCTGTCCAGAGCGATAAGACGCACCGTGGCATGTCTATAAGTGGGAGGTAGTTTGAAGCATACCTGGCGCAAACAAAAGGCGACTATGATATGGGCGTAAACGTGCAGGGCCCCCCTAGCAACTAGCACGCGACTCGCCCAAATCACCAAGTCATGCAGAATGGTTAACCTATCTTGAAGTGTGTGAAGAGAGCGCCTGGGCCACAACGAACCCTGAACTCAAGTCTCCGCCAGAGCGGCACGCGAAGGTGACCCAGAGGTGGGTTAAGCATACACGCCGTAGCGGGCACCACCTCGTGCCTTCCGAAAACAACGCGTTGGTATTTACCCCGCATACTTGGTTGAAGCGTATGCAAAGTTGTCATGTGTCCCTACGTCGATCACACTGATGTCAACTATTCGCGCCTTGTCTTGTAGCCAAGCTGACAAACATAGATGTGTCTGTTTTTGTTCAAGTCCCCGCAGGCTTGCGATGGCAATGCGTTCTGAAACTCGATGCCGTAATCAACGTTGAAATTAGAACTGCTTGTACTCCGAACACGAAGTATCCACCTTTCACCATCCCATACTACACCACTTGTCCAACATACAGCGCAACTACGCTCTGGGTCTGAATCCAGGGCTTACACATGTGACCCACACAACCGCCCCACCACTCGTCGACGCACATGCCCCCGCACATCCGGCGCCATCAGCGCCGGTCCACACAACTAACTCCTGAGGGCGCCCTGGG